GTTTTAAAATTGAAAAGATATCAGAATGTTTCAAGGATTCTATTTTTTATCACAATATTACCAGATTTGCTTTTACTTACACACTCCCCATGTAATTTCTGGGGAAAACGATATTCATTTTTTTTATGGATGAATAGATCGTTTTTCCTAGAAAGGACCTCATATCTCTGGCTAAAAAGAGTGTCAGATCCTAATAGATTATTGATCTAGTGTACAAATCAATAAAAAGCCTATTTTTTTGGCTTTTTTGTGCTCATTTTTTCGAAGATCTACATGAATATGGGGAAACCATCGGATTTTTTTGGTTAACCACATCTTCATGTAGTCTGGACTATCTTTCCTCGAAGGACCTCTTTACGGGTGTAAAAACTCATAAAGTTCTCAAAAGATTCATTCTCGATCTCCATGCTGAAAGAATTTACAATAAAAAAGAGATTCTACGCATCAAACTACAGCCATAAATGAACTGAACCCCTAAAGCTCAGCTCTTAGTTTATCAAAAACGTCGAAATCCTTCTCATTGCAATCAAATTTTCTCAATACTCATAAGAAAAATCGAATTTTGATTAAGCCGATGTTTAGGTATACAAAATACTACAAACTTGAGCAATATCGAAATTGCCAGCAGAAGTTTGAAATTGCATTGCTCATATTTGTTTTGTAAACTAAAATCTGCTTATATTATTCATTAATTTTTATATATTATTCATATACTTTAATAAAACAATACTATTTCACCTTAAAATGAATTTCATAAGTCAATATTATTTTTTTGAAAATGTATATTTCGATTAAAACAACATGAGAATAAATTTACGCAAAATTTTTTTAAAAAATGGTTTTAAAAATTTACAATTGATTAAGAATAAGATTGTAGAGATGTGAAAACTTAAATTTATAATCCCTGGGATGCACTTTCTTCGATTTTTTTTTAAATTTTTGGGATAAATTTTGACATCTTTTTTTTTGCTGGCGACCCCCCGTTTAGGGCATCAAAAAACATGTTGTTTCGTTTCAAGATCGGGATATGTTGTGAACCCGACTTCTTTCATTAATGAAGTGATTTCTTAAGTTGAATAAAAACAAATTTGATTGAAATTCATACAAAATTTCTTTTTATCATTATTATTTAAGATGCTTTTTTATGTTGATTGTTAATTTTTTTATTTCCACTGGGATATTTTGAATTGGGCTAGCCCAATCCCACTTCTCAATTTTCTCTCAATTGGAATGGGATCCCATATAAAATGTATTGTAACAAAATTTTACATGCATAATATAGTACAATTAAACAACATTCTAAAAATATTAAATTCATCATCTCTTCGAAGATTTTATATTTTCAACAAAATTAATACAATAATTACATTAATTGAGGAGATTTATAATATTTATTTAAATTAAAATATTATTACTCATTAATTTGTTGAAATATTGCATTTTAGTGGTAAAAATTAAAATTTAAGTTTCATGGAGAAAAAAAAATTTTTAAATTCCAAAAAAAATTCAATTGGGATAACGATAGGACAAAAATTTAGAATCCCATATGCTTGGGATAAAATCACATGACTATAAGATTGGAAGAAGTTTTGAAGTTTAATTTTAAGAAAATCGGATATTATTCTGGATCTAAGTAATCTGAATATTTGAGTATCAGCACTATGCATAAAACATATATTTATAGTTTTTTGGATTTTATGATTTAAATATATTCAAATTTGGCAATCCAATAGATTTTTAAAATAGGTAAATAAAAATAGATTACATATGCAGCAGATTTAGAACATGAAACAATCTTATAGTGACCCAAAAAAAAAATTCATGATCCAAAAAAGAAAAAATCTCGCTAAATTGGAATCAAACCTTGGCATAATGAATCAAAATGTCCGATGTTTCAACTATAACTACACCGGCATTCGAAAAATGCCCTTGTGGTTCTATTTAAATGCTACTCCCAACGATAGCGGTGTCCCCAGCTTTCGAGAGGTGGTAAAAGTAAAGCAAATCTGGTATCTTGAAAATTCAGTAATTTAACTGAAACAGAACAACAAACAATTTTAAATTCCTACAAAGCGATAAATTTACATATTACATAATGTGCTCACAATTGTAAAATCAAACTGGAACAATTATCCCAAACTTTAGTTAATATTGCAAATCAATATTTGCCATTTTTAGATGAAGAAAAGCAAAATATATATATTTACTGAAATAACTGGCAATTATCAAAATTTTGAATTCCAGTTGCAACTTGTTACTTTTTTATGAAAACAATGAAGAAAAATTAAGCAACTGTTTTAATTTACACTTGTTCCAGCAAATTTATCTCAAAATGGAATCGAGCAAATGATATTTTTTGTGCTGCAAATACAATTTGTTGCAATAACACTTCTATCATTTTTACAATCTCCTTGAAATTGAAGAAATGAATCCATTTGATTTTTTTTATTTCAATTCAATATAAAGAGATATTAAATTGCGATGATTTTCCAAAAGTTAACAGAAGTAATCACAGGTTTAATCTCAGCTTCAAATATTAATGGCTATTATGCGAATTTGCAAAAAATTTTGGATAAAATTACATTTTATAAATGTAATTATTGCCATATTACCTCAATATGGAATTTTATCAAAAATGCAACAATAATTCTTCCTTGATGAAGAATTTATAATCAAATTATTAAAATTATAGAAAAAACAGAAAAAGCAACAGATGAATTATTCGAACCGGAGAATGATTTGGGTTCTATGAATATTTAAATTCGATTTTCTCAGATATTACATCTGCGAGAAATAAGCAATTTTCTTGGAATTTTCTAAATACCCATGAAGATGACTTCACTTATGATCAAACATTGTGAGGTCATTTTTGATCAACAAATTAATTGAAATTCCGATCAAAAAAATTCACAAATGGGATCAAAAAAATCGAATCTCAAGTTAAAATAAAATTTCTACATTTTTATCAAATTTAGATTTTTTTTTTCAAACATGCGAATTGATTGAATAATTGCATATTTTATCCCATGCATCTAGAAGTATGTGTAATATTTTTGCTTTCATCAAGAATTGTCGAATTTGATCTTAATTTTTTTGTGAAAATATATACTTTTAGAAAAAGAAATATTGCTTGAATAGCTGCCATGCTGTAAAAGGGTAATTTTTACAAGTAAAAAATTGTATTTTTCGAGCAAGTCGAGGCTTTTTACCATCTATATTTTTGAAAAATTTACGAAAAATTATATCTGAAAAAACGCTTCATTTTGATATCTTACAATGATAAAATACCAATGTTGCTGGATATAAATAGCTACACCTGGACATCTACTACATTAATGCGTATGACAGGTAAAGTTGATTTCAAAAGTATAGCCTGGAAAGATTACAATAAATCAACGATAATTCAAAAAAATTTCTTATAAGTTAACATAATAAAATTTAATTTTTATATTGCTTGTATTATACTTAAGTATATAATATATTTAAATCTTAGAATAGAAATTCGGGACGCCTAGCTATTCAATTTTCCCTTAGGACGCCCATAAACCTCTCAAAAATGTGATGTAAATATCACAATTTTGAGAAATTTACACTAGGACGCCTTAGGACGCAACCCCTTTTTTACCATATATTTCGGGCTCAGTTGGCCAGGCTTGCCGAAGTGCAAGGAATTTTTATATCCATCGAAGTGGTTTCGAGCATACTTTGAGATTTTAAGTTTTTCAAAAGAAATAATGAAAGCAAGCATTTTATAAGAATTTTGTTAGAAATGAATACATTTAGATAAGACATTAGATTAGTTTGTTACTTGACAAAATTAGAGGAAAGGGGAAAGAAAAAGGAAAAATAATATAGGGCTTATTACATATTTGATGACTTTAACTTTGTGTTGTTCATGTCCGGAGGCGGCGATGCGGCCGAAGGCTAGCGCTACCGCGGAGACCGATTTATTTTACAAGATTATTTTTTTCCCAAGAACTTTTCCCCAGATTTTGGGTTTATCAACCAGAACGGCCACAATATTAAGAGTGGTTGTTATCATGTTAAAGTATTTTATATTCATTCCAAAAGGATATATTTTTGACACTTTTTCGATGAAGGGAACAGCATAAAATGTTAATGCAATTGAGCACTTATTCAAAGTCTACCGAATTCTTGGCCATTAATGGTTGATTATCTTGATAAAATAACTGTTCTTGCAAAATTAACAACATTTCCATCTCATTTACAAGCAGCAAGACTAGCATCTATTGTATGTTATTATTACGGTGATTAGAAGGAGCATTAGAGTACGCATTGCTCTCAAAGCAATTATTCGACGTTGCAGCCGATGATAAGTATATCTGTAAGATAGTATCATTTGCATTCCAGAAATATATACAAAATTGCAGAAAACATCCCAATTTCTGAAGATCATCAAGTACTTGTTCAGAGATGTATGAAAACCTTCTCAAAAACAAGAAATACAGTCAAGTCTTACACTATCAATTGAAACCCACATGAAGGAATCAATAAAGATCGCTTTAGAACAGTGTCCGAGCCTTTGCAAGTGGCGCAATTACATTATGTCAAGAAACAGGCATGAATAATGAGTACAAAAAGGAAATTCTTGATATACTTGTTGATTTTTCGAGGTCACGAAGTGATAAATTCCAGCTAAGTCAACTTTATTTACATTACAAAGATTACATCTCAGGCGCGAACTTACTGAAGCAACTTTGTACATCCTCTAAGACTGACGATAAACTTATGGGATATTCAAATTGCATTTGAACTTGCGAAAATGCACATCAAAAATATGTGCCCAAGTTATCGACAATTTACCACCGAAGGCTCAATATTGTTAAAGACATTTTAACACGCAAACTCCTTTTACAGAAATATTTAGATTTCCTCTTCCGAAAAAACAAAAATGATATTCTATGTCCTTATTTCCCTAAAGATTCACTTGATACAGCCCGTCAATCATCCATATCATCGTAACTATTGCCTATTCTTACATGTACGCTGGAGTTGGCGATGATAATTTTTTCAGAGTCAATTTGAACTGGTTTATCACGAACGTAAGTGGGCTCAGTTCACAACCGCTGCAGTCGGAGCATCCATGTTGGCCACCTAGAAGACGCTCTAAAAGTTCTGACATCTTTTTTGGTCAAAGAAGCTCCCGACATGTCACAGGCGGTGCCATTTATGCTCTTGCTCATCTATGTCAACTACAGATGGGACAAAGCCATTCTCAACATTGTTACAGAGAAATTAGAATCATTCCTTCAGAAAACATCGTACGATCAGACCAACAAGCCTCTATACGTCATCCAGCATGGTGCATGTCTTGCTCTTGGCCTCATCTCCCTCGGCAGCCGCAGATACTTCTCATTATAATTTTTATTATTAAAAGTTATAAGGAAGATCATCCCGAACCAGGTGAAGCTGCCGGATACGCTCTTGGCATGGTCATGCTCGGCAGTGGCAGCCAGGAAACCATTGACGAGATGATCAGAATCTGCGAAAACACCGAACACGAGAAAATCATGCGAGGCATTGCGATGGGCTTGGATTTGTCCTCTACGGATGCGGCGCCAGAGCAAACGACACTATCCAGCGAATGCTCGACAGCAGGCAGCCTCTCATGCGCGAAGGAGCTGCATGGATCATCGCACTCGCAAACATAGGAAATTCTTCAAATGACGCTTTGCAAAAACTTCTTCATATCGCTGTGAGTGATGTAAACGATAATGTTAGAAGAGCGGCTGTCATTGCATTGGATTTGTTTTGTCTCGTCGTCCAAAGGAAGTTCCCTCAATGATCAACTCTCTTGGCGAGAGCTACCACGCACACACGTGAGGGCAGGAGCGGCACTTGCAATCGGAATTTCATGCGCTGGAACAGGAAATTCAGAGGCAATTGAAGTGTTGAAACCGCTTTTGAACGATAACGAAGATGCTGTTACACAGAATGCTATGATAGCCATGGCATGGTCTTGATGCAGCAGAGTGATGCGAGAGTCCCGTTACGTCAAGGAGTTCAGGACATTCTTGAGACAGATGACATCGAGAAGGCGCAGAAATGCTTATTTTCGGTACTTGCTGCGCTTGGGGAATTTTAAACGCTGGAGAGAAATGTTGTCATTTCTTGCAACTCATTGCGTGGTGAGAACTCTGTATCTGCAACAGTGGGTCTTGCAATGTTCTGCAACCACTTCTTCTGGCATCCACTAGCTCTAAGAACTATGTGATTAGATAGATATAGCATCATTAGAGCAGAAGGTAGAAAAAATTTTATCATGTATGTATAGAGGCTGGAAAACATACCTTCATCTATATATAGACGTAAAAAAAAAGTCACACAACCCTTCCTATCCTACTACTATTATCTTTCTTTTCATATTTATCATTGTTTTTATTACATTATTTTTCTTTTCATATTTAATTATTGTTTACCTCAATTTTTGACTTTTGCACTTTTTCCATGACCCTTAGGGGGTGAGTGCGGGACAAATTTGCCAACCTACTTTTCAATAACCTTAAATTACGCTTTTCTCATTTTTTAAAATAACCTTAATTATATTGAGAAATTATGTCTATGATATATGTTTTTATGCTAGAATCTTTGAGTTTTCATGCACTACACAAGAGCTCCAAGGTTCCAAGAGTGAATGCTCAATAGCAATTATAGAGATGTACCTTTTCAAAATGACTTTTACTGATTAAAATTTAATCAATAGAAGACATTTTGAAAGGTACCTCTACAATTAGATATACAATAGATTCAAAGAGCTTCATTTCAGATAAATTTGAAACTTTGAAAACTCTGTAGATTTTGAGTGAATGCTGACAATCATCTTGAAAGGTTTTCTTTAAGAAACCTTCTCAAAGAGTTTCTCAGGAGCCCTGAGGCTCCTTTCGTAATGATTGGGAGCTTGGGGTCCTGCACAGAGTATCGCTCCGCTCCATTAATTTTTTTTTAAAAAAAGTGCCGTGTGGAAATTTGTCCTGTTCCCGACCCCCTACCCAGGTATCTAAAATACCATTTATCGCCTGAAAAGCACCCTTAATTTATGCCAATTGAACAAAATAAAGATATGTTTAGAATGTGATATGATGGAGAATCATGCTGCTCTTATTGGCCAGCACATATATAATATTTAAGAAATCTACGAGATTATCTGATTTCATGAAACTCAATGTATACTAAGTTTCAGACTTTGAAATTTTAACATGTTGGATATGGGTACATAGGTTTATGATCCAGTCATTTATTTAAAAATTTCAAAATGAATTAATATGATGTGAGTAACAATGGTTATAAACGCTTATACTAATTATTATTTTCTTGTAGAAATGAAATGTTTGGTGACATTTATAAGGTTAAGCTGAGAATCAAAATGCAAAATTATTTTAAATATTACAAGCATTATTGATGTCATTGAGTTTTAGAGTCGTGTAGATATATGAGTAAATATGTTATTGATGTATATATGCTATATTGTGAAATGAAATGTGAATCTCAAGATGAGTTGCATTCTGCGCTATAATTTGAATTCAATACGTACATAACATTACTAAATGTATTTTAAGATAACAAAAAATTAAGCTTGCAAAAGATATCGAAATGTAATTTTCATTAGATTCAAAAGTTCTGAATGATTTTGATTTTAACTATGATGAGTTTGTCAAACTCTATAATAATAGAATGTAGAATAATTAAATATAATTAATAAAAAATACAAATTTAAGTGATATTATAAGAGATATAATGTGATTTTACCAATATGATATGATTTGGAGAACTGATAGAATTGTGATGTGAGACTAAATATGATTTTATTATGAATAGGAGAAAATATTAGAAGATTTCTTGAATTTAATGTATCTGAATATGTAATTGGGCATATATTCTATATTATTAATATTGGTAGGTTAACTAGAAATAAGAAGATGAAAAGATTGTTAATGAATAATTGAGATTAAGCGAAAATATATTGTTCTAATAGATGAGTGTTGAGATCCAATATATATGAAGAGGGATATGTGAAGAGGAATATGTATATTAATAAATAAGCGATGAGAGAAAAAATAACAAAGATTTATATGAAATTTTGAGTATTGAAAAAGCTCGATTAGTGATTTTATGTCTGTTAAAGGAATAGATATTCTAGAGAAAGTAAATTGATTAAAGAAGAATATAAAAGTTGATTAAGAATGATAAAATATTGAATTGTATGACAATGGAAAGAAGTATAAATTGGTATTGGTATGATGGTATCATTTCGGGAGACATTGCCTCCTGCATGTCTCCCGAATGGAACAATGTTTCCGCATTGATACTTGAACGCGGAAGTTTGACCGACAAGAGTGTATTGTGCCACTCCTGTCGGTCGCAGTGTCTCATTCTGGAGACATGCCTCTGCATGTCTCCAGAATGGAACAATGTTCCGCATTGAATATTGAACGCGGAGTTGACACGGACAGAGTGCATTAATCTTTTTTGTCATATACTCAACCCACAAAGAAAAACCTTACATAAAATAGGTAAACTTTGGTTTTCACTTAATAATGTTTATTTTTAATTTTTTGTTCTTTATAATAACTTTTCTTCTACTAAAACTTTTACAGACTCTACTGAGCTATCCTCACATATATACCTGTGACAATAACACATTATACTCCTTCATATTCTGATCTCATGACATATTACAGCACAAACTATAATTATACAACATACCTCATAAAGTCTGATTTTACCCTATCTAAGCGTTCAAAACCTATTTTCCCCGCGTAATCTGATTCTTCTGGCTCTGCTGATTCGATTTCTGCTGTCAGATAAAAAAAGGTAGTGGGGCTTCCAGGCGTTGCGCCCTCTAGCCCGAAGATGTTTAGTATAAATGAAGTTTTTATTCGGAAAATTTGTTAGTCTTCTGGTCGAAAAATTATTATGTGTCGCCTTTTCACAAATATATATGTTTTCATGTTTTGTCACTTTTCTGTCACTTTTCAGGAAAAACATTTTTATTATTATATATAAATGAATTTTACAAAACAAACCGTTACCTCTTCTTTGGAAATAAGAGTAGATGTAAAGATATTTTATTGAGAGAACTTAAGAAACTACCGAATGGTCTAACATTTGTAGATTTGTTCGGTGGAAGTTTCTTATATCCCATTTAGTCAACAATATTCCCAGACTCAAAGATTATATGCAATGACTTCGACAACTATATGACCGTCTCAAACATATTCCAGACACAAACATATATTTGAAAGAGTTAAAAGAAAAGATACCTATAGGAAGATGGAACGTATACCATTAGATAAGAAAAATTGTGAGAGAGGTTTTGAAAAAGCAGAATATATAGACTGGGATAGTATATCTGCTAGCCTATTATATAGTGGTCTATAAGAGTTCATGACATTGAAACACTTATGTCAAAAGTTTTATATCTTAACTATACAAATGTTTTCAAAGAGAACATAGAAAAATATATTGAGGGTATAGATTTTGTGAGATGTCGTGACAGAGTTGTATGAAAAATATAAAGACAAGGAAAATGTTTTCTTTATAGTGGACCGCCGTTCTATAACACATGGGATTTTCAATACCAAGTAGACTGGACTTTGAGAGACTCTTTAGAAACTTTAGACGTTATACATAACCATCCATGCTTTTACTTTACATCGATAAAAGTGGTTTGGAAACCGTTATGAGATGGTTAGAGGACATACATGACTATGAGTTTATATATGACAAGATAGAATATGAGAGAGGTCCTATAAACCGAGAAAGTGTCAAACAAAGAAATTTTATTGGTAAGTAATGTGGTTTGAATAGGACTACTTGTTTTAGGTTTTTTCCATTGTGTCATTTATTTATTTGACGTGGCAGAAAGTACAGAGAATATGAGATGAACCAATGCCTGCAAATGTCCAGTATATGTACTCGTAAGAGATATTTTATCTAATATTAAATGGACGCACAGAACTTAGCGAATGCACAGCAACCTGGACAACCAAACCCAGAGAATATTCCAAATGAAGTTAGAATACAAACTGCAATGGCAAACTATGGTCAAGTGCCAACAGATGTACAAATGCAAACTGCCATGTCAAATGACGCGGCGTTAGTTCCACATGGTATGCAAATATGAGATGGAAAGAGTTTTATACAAACCCTGAAGTGGGATATAAACAACTTATGCAGATGACGCGAACACAGGAGTTGACCCAGATATGTTTTCTACCAGAGGAGAAAAGAATGTATGAGCTCAGTTAAAAAATGCTATGGAACTCAACAGGAAACGTAAGAGACTAGGTTGACATTGTTATACATATAGTAAATGGGTTTCTTAAGAGTATTGGAAACTTCTTCAGAAGAGTTGGAAGAGGTATATGGAATGGAATAAAATCTGTCGGAAGAGGAATTTGGAACGGAGTCAAAAAATATTGGTAAAAGAGTAGGTCAGTTCGTTGTGTATTATACCTAAAGACCCTGAACCAGAAGAACAAGCTCTCTTCTCTCTCCCTAACTTTCTTTCTAAACTCTTCACCAAATATACCATCTCTATGGTTCTGTGTAGTTCTTTGAGATAAATGTTCTAGAACGTCAGGTGTTTATATTTCCATCAGCCATGTTCATTTCATACTGGTCCAAAATATCTGCATGTTTCATATCTTTCAATGGCATTAAAGCCGCGCTTAAAATACCAGCTATATCTGGTTCACCATTGACTTCCATTGCGTCTACAACTTCTTGGAATTGTGGTTGTAAGTTTATGAACCACCTATCCGGGTTAGCTTTATGACCCCATCTCATTGTAGTTCCATCGTCTGCAGAAACAAAAGTAGGTTTGTTTCACATCTTGGTTAGGTTCTGAATGAACTTTAAACAATGTTTCATTTCTATATGTTTTTCTTGAAATTTAACCTTTTATTTTCACCGAGTTCATCCGAAGATTGAACGTTAAATGCTCGTAAGTAAAAAGGGTTGT